CTTTAATTATTTGAATATAATTAATTCAGATGATATGATTAACGTATATTTTAAAGCAAAATTACAGTTCTCTGCTTTTTAATCATAAATATACTAAATAAATCGAATAAATTATATATATATATATATATATATATATTAAAGAAGAAACCACATGTAACGACATAACTTTTTCTCAAAACAAGAAAATGATTTATCTTTTTTCTCATTTTCTCAAGTTTCTCCTACTTTAATATTTGTTTTTTTATGTTTCATATTCACATTTAAGATCATTTAATTAGGTTGTTTCAACCTATTCATGTTCCCTCTAATAAGTACTCTTTTAACTCTCATTATTTCTCTCTATTCAATTATAATTTTTCATTTTCTCTTCATGGTACACCTCTATAATAATCTCTCAATTTTTCATCTCTATGATAACCTCTCTATTAATCTCTCAATTCTTCCTCTCTATTCATGTATAATTTTGTAGTACACCTCTATGATAATCTCTTTATTAATCTCTTAATTCTTCCTCTCTATTCAGTTATAAATTTGTGGATGTGATTTGCATTTTTTGTTGATTTGAGGTATCATTTAATAAGACAAAACCCATATTGTTTTAATTGGAGATATTCACATTAAAATTGGAATTATACAAACATATGAATCTCTCTATTAATCTCTCAATTCTTTCTCTCTATTCAGTTATAATTTTGTGGGGGTGATTTGCATTTTTGTTGATTTGAGGCGTTATTCAATAAGACTAATCATAGTATGGGTTTTTGCTTATGTAAGTATAGTATTTCGTCTTTTAGTCGGAGAATTCATACTAAAGTTGGAATTATGTAGGCATACGAATTTTTTTTGTGTGGTTAAAGTGGCATATGAATCTTTGATGAAATAAGGTAACATTGTTTAGCATAATAATCTCTTTTAATCTCCCAATTCTTCTTCTTTATTCAGTTTTTGTTGATGTGTTTTGTTTTTTTTGAGACGTCATTCATGAAAACAAATATGATATGAGTTTTTGTTTCTGTTGATGTTGATCGATCTATTGTGATTTTTTTCCTTTTTTAGCATTGAGCTTGAAAATTATTTTCTAATATTTTTAATTCTTAAAGAAGAAACCAAACATAATGAGATATTATCCTCTAAACATTAGAAACCTATTTTTTTCTTAGATTTTTTATTTTTTTAAATATTTGATATATGTAAAAGACTTTTCCTGACCCTATATTTAAAATATGAAATTCAATATAATACATATCTTTTATATTTACATAATTTTATTAAAACCTCTATTTTTAGGATTTTTTTTATAAATAAACTAAACCATGAACTGTCTAAAACAAATCTAAAAAGCTTGAACAAGTCAAATGAAAAAATAACAAATCAATCAGACTCTTATATATCTAGAATGGTCATAATACTAGCTATTATTTTCATTTTATGCAATCGCATGTAGGGAAAAAGTGGTTTCAATGAGGTTCTTGACCAATGTTGCAAATGAGTATATCATGAACTAATATAAGCAAATTGCAAAAATATTCAACAATTATATCAATATAAATAACAACACAATTATTGCTTGGTGAATATAAGTATTTTATGAGAATATACGTAGAAGATAAATTGATATGTATTATGGTAAAATAATTATCTTAATACACCTCATGATTATAATCAATATTTTCACATATTTTTTTTATGATTTTGAACCAGTCATAAAGTTTGATATAATAAAAGATTGATATATAAGATTTAATAATTATATATATATATATATATATATAATATTAAAAGAACAACCAATAATGATAAGTTAGATTCATATATCAAATGTAATGTTGATTCTTATTAATTTAATATATAAATATGATCATCGACTCATTTAGTTAATTTCAATAAATTTTTAAAAAATTTATTGTAATCGTACAACGCACGATATCAAACACTAGTAATAAATAGAATGGATAAATAGGTTGAGAAATGTGGAGAGACTTGGTACCACTCATCTTAAAAGAATTCTAGAAGATTGGTGTTTTTTATGTGGACGGCTTTACGCATTTTCTCCTTCTTTGTCGTATTTCGATTTAAAAATTCATTTTTTATTAATAAAAAATATCTGTTTGTTGAAGAACAAATTATATTGAACTTGTATTTGATGTCACGTTTGATGTAGGGAGGTTATACTTTTTCTGCTAAAAACGTGAAAACACATGGAAATAGAAAGGAAAAATTGCATCAAAATTGAATCAATTTTCATTTAATTCCTATTTTGGGGAATTAATTTTTAAAATCATTATTTTAAGGAACCAACTTGTACTTGATTCCTATTTTAGGGAATCAACTTGCAAAATAATTATAAAAAAATAACTAAAATTCGTTTTTTTTTTTAAATAATACAATAAAATCTATTTTTCATTTCAAATCTCGTTTTTTTTTTAAATTCAGACATCAAATTGAAGATTTTTTCAAAAAAATCCAAATTACCACATAAAAAATTAATTTAATAAAAAAAAATTAATTGATACAATAAAAAATAAATGTTACATATCAAATTCAAGATTTTTATATCTAACCAATCCGTATCAGTATTAAAGTTTAAATCAAAGGTTTGATAGAGACCCTTAAATTACTTGTTACCTGTTCAACAGAACAATCAGACCCTTAAATGAACAAAAAGTTTGATAGAGACTCCTAAATGACAATTTTGAAAGTTGGTTCTCAAAATAAGAATCAGGTGAAAGTTGGTTCCATTTTGGTATAATTTTCCCAAATAGAAAAATAATTAAGCAAGATTTTTCTTTAGTCTTGAATACAAAGAAATAGGAAAAAGATTCTCACTCAACGGAGTCGGAGATGGACCATCTGCAGTAAATAGGGGGAGTTTGATCTTTTTGGCTGTGGTCATTACAACAATCGACGCCATTATCCGGAGTAAATAGATGCTCAATCTCTGTTTCGAAGAGGAGACATGGGAGGCAAGGGGGATGAGAGACGCTCCGATGACGGTAAGATGGGGAGGCGAAGATTTAGGGCTTCATTAGGCCTTCATCTGAAATAACAAGGGATAAATTTTGGGGGGAATAATCGATGGTAATGGGGCGGGGATGGGGCGGGGACCCCAATACCCGTCCCCGTCCCCAATCCCCCGTATGTGTCCCCGTCCCCGCCGGGGATTATGATCACATCCCCATCCCCGTCCCCAACGGGGAACGGGGATCCCCAACGGGGAAACAGGGATTTTTTTGAAGCCTATTGAAAACAATTTATAACAATATTATCTATTTGGAAATACAAATCAAGGGAGAAGTAAAGAAGACAATGTCTACCTCTACTGAGAAAAACCAGTGAAGTGATCGTGTAGGGAGAGGGAGAGCCGGAGAGGGAGAGTCAACTTGTAGTAGGCTATGGTACAAGTGT